AGATATCTAGATATTATATATATAGTATAGCTCAATATATACTATATATCTATAATATATATATATATTCTATATATGATGATGGCTTATATATATAGTTTCTATATGTCACATCTTTATTAAATATATATATCTGTCTATATATATGGCTTCCTATTATTATATGTAATATATATATGTATAGGGGGTGGGGGGGGGGTTGGGAGTTGGGGCTGTGGTGGGAGATATTATAGATGACGATATATATATGGATAGATTCTGTATATCTATATATATAGATATCTATCATATCTAATATCCTGGTCTATATCTATGTATATATATATATGGATATATATCTATCTCTAATCGATAATCTATTATATATATATACTATCTATATCATATAGATATGTAATATATATTATATATATATGCTATATTTATATTCTATATCTATATGTATATATATCTATATCTATAATATATATATGTCTATATATATAATGTCTCTATATATATATGATATATATAATCTATATGTATAATCTACGCTCTGTATAACTACTCTATATGTATCTATATCTCTAGGTTATCGTATATATCTGTATATGTATCTTCTCTTTATCTTGTATCTGCTGTATCTTTGATATATCTCTCTGTCTCTCTCTACCTATCCTCTATGACTCATATCTGTATATATATATATATATGTGTCTGGTATATATATATATATATTATATCTATATATATTACTCTGTCTATTATCTATCTATATAGCTATAATTCTTACGTCTAGTACTATATGTCTATTCTATATATATCTCTCATATCTATATTTATATATATCTGTATACCGTACTCTCTGCTATCTTGGTCTATGACTCTCTCTATATTCTTATATACAGTCATAATCTATCTTGTATCTATATCGTATATTATCTTCGAGTTCGATCGGTGTATAGGGTGTATTGTATCTACTCTTCATCTATTATGTACATGGTACTGTTATCTATATATATCGATAGGTCATAGTAGTTATCTGGTATGTATAATGTATCGGTTTTTCGTCGGTATCTCTAGCAATCTATCCTCATCGTCTCGCATATAGGTCCTCTCTCTATCTAATATATATATTATATATTATAGATCTATATTGTATTCTAGTATCGTCGTATGTATTAATGTATTATATATCATCATATATATATCTATATATATATATATATATCTTACATATATATATATATATACCTACTATCTAGTTCATATATATCTACACTGCTTATATCTTCATCTCTCTACTCTATATTTATAGTATCTCTATATCTATTATATATCATCTCAATCTTACTATAACTACCCTACATAAACTCACTCCCATCTCTATATTCTATATATACTAAGCTATATATATATCTTCTATATCTATAATATACTATATATACTATATCTCACTATCCTATCTATAGTCAGCTATATTAGCTCTATTCATCTATTATCGATATATTCGATATATAAGAGCTATATCATATCAATATATAATAATCCATATATATATATAGATATTCATATATATATAATATATTCATATATATATATAGTTCATACATATATATATTCATATATATTTTAAATATATATATATTCCTATATATATATATATAATTCAATATATATATATCTATAATTCATATTAGATATATATATTCATAT